ACCTAGTGTTCCTAGTGCCTGCTGTGGGAGGCCAGGGCAGCCACACAGCCACTGACGGGACAAGGAGGACTGAAGTTAAGCAATTGTGAGAAAATGTCAATTTCTATTCAGGCTGAACCTGGTCATTTTATCTACTAAAAAAAAAAAAAAGCAGCTATGTATTAATTTCTGTATATAAATGTCAATGTCTCTTTACAGCTTTCCTTAAAGCAGACCTAAGTACACTGACACCCTTCCTGCCTCCTCCCACTCCAAGTGAGCTCCTCCAGTGCCAGACTTTGTGCTTTTACCTCTCCCATTCCTCTGGCACTTGAACAGGGCCTTCAGGCTCTGAGGGTCAGCCCTATTTACCCACCACGGAGACTAAAACTGGTCTTTAAGAATCCACCATGAACAGGGAACACACGTAAGAATCTGCTTAATTCCCATCTATTTGATTTCATACGGTGGCAATAAAAAGCAACTGGAGAAGGGAAGCTGAGGTAGAGTTAGCTTATTTGCCTATAGCCAAGGCAGTCCATGCTTTTCAAGACACTCTCAAGGGTCAGATCAGTGAATTTGCCTTCCATAAACAGCTCTCATCAACTCCCACCTCCCTGACACAAGGCCCTGCCACATTCTCCTCTGGAGAACATTCAAATCTCAGCCTTCCTGCCCATACCTGTCTCGGAAGCTCTCTGGGAAGCCCAGCCCAGAGCCACTAGCTCTTCCACTGTCCTACAACCATCTGAAAGTGTTTATTTAACCCATTGTTTCTGCTCTCTTTGCTTCAAGCTTCCTACTACGGCAGGCCACCACAGTTGGATACAACTCCGCACCAACTGGCCACAACCTCAAACCTGTAAGGTATTGATAGATAAGGAACATCACTGTCATCAGCCCCTTGACAACTTGACCACCAAGGCTTCACCACCACCAATTTGTCCTTCAAACATCACCACTGAGTAAGCTACAATCACCCCCAACTTAGAGGTACAGAAGAGTTTAGAGAGTTAAAAGACTGGACCTGAAGCCTGTTAAGAAGCAACAGAACAAAGCAGAGGCCAGAGTCCTAATTCCCATCAAAGCAAGAGGTTCTGCCCAATCTGGACTTGAGAAAAAGACTTGTTCTCAACAAAGAGGTGAGAGCTCCTAATGCATATTTTATTTCCTTCCAAAAATCATTTCCCCTGTCAAAGCAGCAAATCTGAGGCCAGACATGTCCAGAGTGGAAGACAGCCCCTTTTTCCCCTTTCTACATCAAAAGGGATGGAAGAGTTTCTTTAGTTTTGCTTTCAGAAGTATAGGATCACAAATATGTCTAAAACTCACCTTCCAGCATGTCACAGATTTTTGTACAGCCAATGACACTCAGAATTTGTGTCTGTTTCTGTTTCAAAGCTCATGACTCCTCTGTGGATCAGTAGCATCAGGACACTATGCCTCAGTTTCACATTTTAAACATGAAATGACATCTACCAGGCTTTTCTTCCTTCAAATGAAAACTGATTAATAGTTACTTCCAACAACAGTACAAGATGGCTATATCCCCACTTAAAAGGGCCCCAGCACAGCCCCTCCTGCTACACCATCTGCATTGTCAACCAGTAAGGGCTCACAGAGTCTCCTCTGCCTTACACAGGCCCATTTGTAACACCACACTGACGAAACACAAAAACAACTGAGGGTACTGTCAGACATCTTGCACACCATAAATTCTTGCATTAATTTTAAAATTCTTCTTGGCCCACACTGCCAAACAGAATAAAGACATTAATTTAGCCCACAAAAAGACTGAGGTCAGCACTGGATACTGCCCAATTCTTTTCAAGAGACCACACTGAAAACAAACCAGAGCCCATACACATACACCTCTTACCTGGCATGGTTTTACAGCCCCTCTCTCATGGGCATGTGAGTGTTCTGAACTCTCGGATACAGAGGTCACATCTTGTTAGTTAAATGGCTGAAACTG